TCTTCCCATCCAGCTCTCTGCTATGGCCTAGGAAGGTAGTGGAGGATGATGAGCCAAGTCCTTGGGCACCTGCACCCACGTAGGAGACCAGGAGGAGGCACCTGGTTCCTGGCTTTGGATTGACGCAATTCCGGCCTTTGCAGCCATCTAGGGAGTGGACCAGCGGAGGGAAGACCTTTCTCTCGGCCTCTCCCTCTCACTCTCTGTAACTCTGCCTCTCAAATAAATAAGAAAAGTTATCTTAGAGGCCAGCATTGTGGTTATCAAGTAAAGCTACCACCTGCAACACTGGCATCTCATGTGGACACCAATTCAGGTTCCAGCTGCTCTGTTTCCCATCAAGTTCCCTAAAAATGGCCTGGGAAAAGCAGCAGAAGATCGCCCGAGTGCTTGGGGCCCTGCCACCTGTGTGGGAGACTCAGATGGAGCTCTTGGCTCCTGACTTCAGCCTGACCTAGCGCTGGCTGTTATGGCCTTCTGGGGAGTGAATAACTAGCAGTTGGAAGATTCTCTTCCTCTCTCTCTGTAACTCTGACTTTTAAAATAAGTAAATAAACTGCCACCTGTGACACCAGCATCTCCTATCAGAGAACTTGTTCCAGTTATGGTTGCTCTGCTTCCTGTGCAGTTCCCTGTTAATATACCTGGGAAGGCAGCAGACGATGACCCCAGTAGTTGGGCCCATGCCACCCATGTGTGTGGGTGATCTGGATGGAGTTTCAGGCTCCTGGCCTAAGCCTGGCCCAACTCTGGCTGTTGTGGCCATCTGGGGAGTGAACCAGCAGATAGATGATTTCTTTCTCTCCCTTTCTGTCTGTCATTCTGCCTTTCAAATAAATAAAAATTATGAAAAGAAAAAATTATTCCATAAGAGAAGAAAATAAAGGTGGATTCTAGTTCTTAACTAAGTGTATATAACCGTTCAGATATTTTTCTGTGGATTTGCTTGCTGACCCTGTATATCTATAGAAAATACATAGAGGGTAGGACTGTTTTGTGATTTTCAGCATTTTTAAAAAATAATGTACTGTATGTATCACCCACAGTGGTCAATCAGTGACATCTTAGAAATTTCTCCATATTGGTTCAGAAAGATCATGTACATTTTTTTAATTGCTTCACAGTATCTTCTGGCGTGAACCTGCTTAAGTCTGTTTATTCATTCCCTAGTTGATGGGCATTCAGTTTTGCCCAATTTTTGCTATTACAAATAGCTTTAAATGAATATTCTTGCATATGACTTACTATGTACATGAGCAGCTATCTTTCTTGGGTGGACACAACATAAGAAATTACAGACTCATAAGATAGGTACCTATATCATATCTCTACACACACAAAGAGACGTGTGTGTGTGTGTATATATATATTAAACAGTTGGACCTGCTAACTAATACCTTGTGGAAATTACTGTCTTGTGGTTATCAGATATTTCTTACAGAATTTCTTGCTGTTGTGCTTCTCGAGTTCTTTAATGGTGCTAAGAATCTCTCTATACATTTATTGGGCATTTTTGCTTCTTCCTCTCCTTTTTCTCTAGAAGTTACTTAAACAAGTATACTCTAGATTCTTTATCTATTACAAGTGTGGAAAATGTTTTCTCCCAGTCTCTTACCTTTCTTTTATTGTGTAGTATCATACCACAGTGTTTCATTTTTGATAAATTGAATTATCAGCTTTTAGATGACTTTGATTTATTTCTTCTTTAAAAGGGCTTCCCTATGAGGAAGTCAAACTATCCCTATTTGCAGATGACATGCTTCTATATAGATGGGATCCAAAAGACTTCACCAAGAGACTATTGGAACTCACAGAATAGTTTGGTAAAGTAGTGGGAGATAAAAATCAGTACACAAAAATCAACAGCCTTTGTATACAAAGGAATACCACTGTGAAAAAACGTCTAAGGTTATCCCATTCACAATAGCTACAAAAAAAATCAAATATCTTGGAATAAATTTAAACAATGATGTCAAAGATCTCTACGATGAGAATTACAAAACATTAAAGAAAGAAATAGAAGATCCAAAAAATAGAAAAATTTTCCATGTTCATGGATTGGAAGAATCAGTATCATCAACATGTCCATTCTCCTGAAATCAGTGTACAGATTCAATGTGGAACCAATCAAAGTAAGAGACATTCTTCTTAGATCTAGGAAAAGTGGTACTGAAATTCCTATGGAAACATGGGAGATGTCAAATAGCTAAAGCAATCTTACACAACCAAAACAAAACTGGCGACATCACAATACCAGATTTCAAGACATACTACAAGGCAGTTATAATCAAAACAGCCTGGTACTGGTATAAAAACAGATGGATAGACCAATGGAACAGAATAGAAACTCCAGAAATCAATCCAAGCCTCTACAACTAACTTTATTTGTCCAAGGAGCTAAAACCATTCCCTGGAGCAGGGACACTTTCTTTAACAAATGGTGCTGGGAAAACTAGATTTCTGCATGCAGAAGTATGAAGCAGGACCCCTACCTTACACTTTACACAAAATCCATTCAAAATGAATTAAAGACTTAAATCTACAACCTGATACCATCAAATTACTAGAGAACATTGGGGAAACCCTGCAAGACATTGGCACAGGCAAAGAGTTCTTGGAAAAGACCCTAGAGACACAGGCAATCAAAGCCAAAATCAAGAAATGGGGTTACATCAAATTGAGAAGCTTCTGTACTTTGAAATAAACAGTCAGGAAAGTGAAGAGGCAACTGAGAGAATGGGAGAAATTATTTGCAAACTATGCAACTGATAAAGGATTAATAACCAGAATATAAAAAGAGATCAAGAAACTCCTCAACAACAACAAAAAACAGTCCAGTTAAGAAATGGACAAAGGACTTAAACAGACATTTTTCAAAAGAGGAAATCCAAATGGCCAACTGACACATGAAAAAATGTGTAGGATCACTAGCCATCAGGGAAATCCAAATCAAAACTACAATGAGGTTTCACCTCACCCCAGTTAGAATGGCTTTCATATAGAAATCAACAAACAACAAATGCTATTGAGGATGTGGGGGAAAAGGTACCCTAATCCACTGTTGGTGGGAATGTAAACTGGTAAAACCACTATGGAAATCAGTTTGGAGATACTGCAGAAATATGAATATAGACCTATTATCTTCATCCCACTCCTGGGAATTTACCCAAGGGAAATGAAATCAGCATATGAAAGAGTTATCTGCACCCCCATGTTTATTGCAGCTCAATTCACAATAACTAAGACAGGGAATCAACCTAAATGCCCGTCAAGGGAAGACTGGATAAAGAAATGATGGGATGTGTACTCTATAGAATACTACACAGTGGTAAAAAAAAAAATGAAATCTGGTCATTTGTAACAAAATGGATGAATCTGGAAAGCATCATACTTAGTGAAATAAACGAGTCCCAAAGGGACAAATACCATGTTTTCCTTGATCTGTGATAACTAATAGAGCACCTAAAAGGAAGTCTGTAAAAGTGAAATTGAGAAGCAATAGTCCTTGTATTAACTGTCAAGGAACAGTTTTTTTTTTTTTCTTAGTGGTGAATGGGACTGGGAATGGGAGAGGGAGGAGGAGCTGGGGTGGGAGGGCGGGTATGATGGGAAGAATCACTATATTCGTAAAGTTAAACTTATGAAATTTGAACTCATTAAATAAGCAGTTTCTTTGGGGAAAAAAAATAAAGCTTCCTCCACAATAAATAAATAAATAGGCTTCTCCTCTCCCAAAATATCATGAATATATTTTCTTCTATTTTTCTGATATGTTTATTCTTTATTTTTAGGGCATTAAGATATCTGATGTTGTTTTTGTTAATGGTATGAGCAGCTGTCTAGCTTTATTTTTTTCTTAAGGGAAAACTTCAAGGGAGGCTTTATTTGTATCTCCCTAATATCTATTCTTCTGTGTTTCTTTGTTAACATTATCAAGAATTTTAAAGCTGTTTGGTTTGTTTGGAATTGATTTCACCCTAACTTATTAGACAGGAAGCTAATTGGTTTAAACCAGTCAGTGTATCCCAGTGTATCTCTTTTTAAAATATTTATTTGTTTCTTGTCTTTGAAAAGCAAAGTTACAGAGAAGCAGAGAGAGAGCGAGGGAGAGTTCTTGCATCTGCTGGTTCACTCCCCAAGTGGCCGTGGCATTCACGATTGAGCCAGACTGAAGCAAGGTGCCTAAAACTTCTGGGTCTCTCATGTCGTTGGCAAGAGCCCAAGTATTTGGGCCATCTTCTGCTGCCTCCCCAGGTGCATTCCCGGGAAGAATGATTAGAGGAGGAGCATTTCCTGCCTCTTATATCTGAAGAGATCAGAAGGGTATGACCCTTTTGAAGGCAATGATGCATGAAGCAATGTTTGCTGGTAGCTTTTGAGAAGGAGGCTTTCTTTTAACCACTGGCTCAGTTACTACTGACGGTCATTTCTGACAAGAGAAGGTGGTTTTGGCCGGCGCCGTGGCTCAACAGGCTAATCCTCCGCCTTGCGGCGCTAGCACACTGGGTTCTTGTCCCGGTTGTCCCTCTTCCAGGCCAGCTCTCTGCTGTGGCCCAGGAGTGTAGTGGAGGATGGCCCAAGTCCTTGGGCCCTGCACCCCATAGGAGACCAGGAGAAGTACCTGGCTCCTGCCATCAGATCAGCGCGGTGCGCCGGCCGCAGCGTGCCGGCCAAGGCGGCTATTGGAGGGTGAACCAACGGCAAAGGAAGACCTTTCTTTCTGTCTGTCTCTCTCACTATCCACTCTGCCTGTAAAAAAAAAAAAAAAGAAAGGAAGAAGAAGGTGGTTTTAGGGATGCATGAACAGAGTGGAAGGCAGTAAGGAAGAAGGAGTGAACCCAGTTTCTGGCTGTTCTCATTAATCAGCTGGATCAATCCTGTTCAGAAATATAACCTACTTCTAGACACTTTCACGTGAAATGGTATATTTATTTTATTGTTTTAAGTCAGGTTGAGTTTAATTTTGTCTTTTTTTTTTTTTTTTTCTGACAGAGTGGACAGTGAGAGACAGAGAGAAAGGTCTTCCTTTTGCCGTTGGTTCACCCTCCAATGGCAGCCACGGCTGGCGCGCTGCAGCCGGCGCACCGCACTGATCCAATGGCAGGAGCCAGGTGCTTCTCCTGGTCTCCCATGGGGTGCAGGGCCCAAGCACTTGGGCCATCCTCCATTGCCTTCCCGGGCCACAGCAGAGAGCTGGCCTGGAAGAGGGCAACCGGGACAGAATCCGGCGCCCCAACTGGGACTAGAACCCGGTGTGCCGGCGCCGCAAGACGGAGGATTAGCCTACTGAGCCGCGGCGCCAGCCCTTAATTTTGTCTTAATTAAAACTGAAAGTAGGGATGGGTATTGTGGCACAGTAGGATAAGCCTCTCCTTGGAGTGCCCACATCTTCTATCAGAGTACCTGGGATTGTGTCCCAGCTACTCCACTTCTGATCCAGGTTCCTACTAGTGTGTCTGGGAAGCAGCAGATGATGGCCCAAGTACTTGGGTTTGTGCCACCCTCTTGGAAGACTTGGAGTTTCTGGCTCCTGGCTTTGCCCTGGCTATTGTGGGCATTGAGGAGTGAATAAGCAGATGGAAAATCTCTTCCTGCCTCTCCCTCTCTCTCTCTGCCAGTCTTCCTTTCCAATAAATAACTCTTTTTTAATAAACTGAAAATATTCCTAGCCTATTTAACAATTATCTCAATACTATTAATTGAAAAATTCATCTATTTTACACTGAAATGAAATGCCCCTTGTGGTAGACCATGTCTAGTCTTGATTACTGAAAGACCTGAAGTAAACATGAATATAAAACTCCAAGGCCCTGCACTGTGGCATAGCAGGTAAAGCTGTTGCCTGTGGAGCCAGCGTCCTCTCTGAGGAAAGATTTGAGTCCTGGCTATTCCACTTCCAGTCCAGCATCCCTGCTAATGTTCCTGGGAAAGCAGTGGAAGATGGCCCAAGTGCTTGACCTTTGAACCCATATGAGAGACTCAAAAGAAGCTCTTGGCTTTGGATCAGCTCAGCTCCAGCTGTTGTAGCCATTTGGGGAGTGAACCAGTGGGTGGAAGAAATCTCTCTCTCTCTACCTGTTCCTCTCTCTGTGTAAGTCTGCCTTACAAATAAATAAAATAAATCTTAAAAATAAAAAGGAAAACTCTAAGATGTTATAACTAGGTAAAACTAGATTGCCCAAAATACTGGCAATATGAATTTTCAAGGCCTAGAACTTGTGTATTAGGCCTGAGTGACATGGTTTACTGAAAAGCAGTGATAATGCTTTATTTAGTGGTGAATCTGTTTCTGGTGCAGAAATAGGCAAGGCTGTACAAGGCAGTGAGCACTCAAATCTGGTGGATATTTCATTCTGTACAGGTTGCCAAAACTGATGAACTTGGGGGATGCCTTTATGAGAATGTAAGAAAGGCAATGGGGATCCTCACCCACATGCATCCTCACCTCACTAACATCCTATGTATCCTAACTGCTAAATTTCTCAGGAGTCTGGAGGGTGAACCAACGGCAAAAGGAATACCTTTCTCTCTGTCTCTCTCTCTCACTTTCCATTCTGCCTGTCCAAAAAAAAAAAAAAAAAAAAAAAAATTCTCAGGAGTCAACTAAAATAATTGGAACCTTAAATAGAGTCCCTATCAACATTTTCATCCACCTCTCAACCTAGAGTTTATCTCACTCCATAAATTCCATATATAAATTCCATATATATGTAGGTCTGTTTTTGGATTCTTCATTCTAGCATATTAACATTTTTATCCCTTTATCAGCCTTATGCTGTTTTATTTCTTGTTGCCTTATATTTTGATAGAATATTGGGCTAATCTCCCACTTCATTCTTCTTCAAAACAATCTAGAATGTGCTGCCATAAATTTTAGAAACAAGCTGTCAGACTATGAGGAGTTCTATAGATATTTTGGTTTTTGGTAGAATTGGAAAAGAATTTATAGGATAACTAGAGAACTGACTTGTGGTATTTGGGAAAGTTGCTTATTTCTTGTTTGTTGATCTTAAATCTGACCATATCACTTAACTTCTGGATTTTATGTGTAGATTCTCATATCACCAAGATTTTATCTATATATATATAATGATTATATACTATAATATATATATAATGATTAAAAGTCATACTCTGAAATCAGACTGCTTGGGTTTATTTTCTGGATCTACCATTTACTAGCCAAGTAACTCAACACCTCTATTATTTCATCTCATCTTTAAGGATAGATCTGGGGTCCAGCACTGTAGTGTAGCAGGTAAAGCTACCACCTGCAGTACTGCCATCCCATATGGGCACCAGTTTGAGTCCTGGCTGCCCCTCTTCCGATCCAGCTCTCTGCTATGGCCTGGGAAAGCAGTAGAGGATGGCCCAAGACCTTAGGTCCCTGCACCTGCCTGGGAGACCTGGGAAAAGCTCCTGGCTCCTGGCTCCTTGCTTCAGATCAGATCTGCACAGTTCCAGCCCTTGCAGACAATTGGGGAGTGAGCCAGCAGATGAAAGACCTCTCTCTCTGTCTGTGCCTCTGCCTTTCTGAAACTCCGCCTTCCAAATAAATAAATAAAATCTTTAAAAAAAAATAAATCTGATACTAATGCCTACTTTGTAAGGTGACTTTATTTTTTAAAAAATTTTTTTATTTGACAGGTAGAGTTATAGACAGAGAGAGACAAAGAGAAAGGTCTTCCTTCCGTTGGTTCACCCTCCAAATGACCGCTACAGCCGGCACTGCGCCGATCTGAAGCCAGGGGCCAGGTACTTCTTCCTGATCTCCCATGCAGGTGCAGGACCCAAACACTTGGGCCATCCTCCACTGCCTTCCTGGGCCACAGCAGAGAGCTGGACTGGAAGAGGAGCAACCGGGACTAGAACCCAGTACCCATATGGAATGCTGGCACCGCAGGTGGAGGATCAACCAAGTGAGCCACCACGCCGGCCCATAAGGTGACTTTAAAGATCAAATGAGTCAAAGCATTTCATATAAAGTAAGTGGTAGTAATAATTATCATCATTTATTTTAAAATAAGTTTATCTGTTTTTTTCTTTTTAATTCTTGTATCTGTTTTCCTTCAGTTGTCAAATTTGAAAGGTAGAATTTATGATTGATATTGCTATCTTGTTCCTCACTTTAATGAAATTTCTTCAATGTTTCAGTATTTCTTTTAAAGTATTATTTATTCGAAAGTCAGAGTTACAAAGAAAGAGGATGAGACAGAGATAGAAAACTTCTATCTGCTTATTTTAACTTCCCTGATGACCCCAAAAGCCAGGGCTGGGCAAGCCAAAAGTACTTGCTACTGATTACTGGTACAATGCCTTATATTGTTGTGGATGCACTTTGATGGTCCTAGCTTGCCAAGGGATTTTTTTTTTTTTTTGTAAACAGATTAGTCTGTTAAGATGATCATCTTTTAATTAATCTAGTCTTGTAAAGAGCTTCATTAGTAATTTTTTTCATAGTCAAATTTCTTTGCATTCCTGAGACATACTTGCTTAATCATGCTCTATTATTTCCTTTCTCTCTTTCAGATTTATTTATTGAAGGCTGGTGCTGTAGAGTAGCAGATAAAGCCACCACCTGGGACACCAGCATCCCATCAGGGTGCCAGTTCGAATCCCGACTGCCCCTTCTGATCCAGCTCCCTGTGAATGTGCCCGTGAAAGCAGCAGAAGATGACCCAAATGCTTGGGCTCCTGAACCTGCGTGGGAGACCTGGAGGAAGCTCCTGGCTCCTGGTTTCAGATAGGCTCAGCTCTGACCATTGTGGCCATTTAGGGAGTGAACCAGTGGATAGTAGACCTTTCTCTCCATCTCTCCCTAACTATGTCTGTAACTCTACCTCTGAAATAAATAAATAAAATCTTTAAGAAAGTATTTATTTGAAATGCAGAGAGAGAAAGAATGATTGATCTTTTATCTACTGGTTCATTTATCAAATGGCCACAACAGCCAGGGCTGGGCCAGGCTGAAGCCAGGAGCCTAAGGCTCCAACCAGGTCTCCCATATTGGTGGCAGGGGCCCAAGTACTTTAGCTAGCTTCCACTGTGTTCTCCGACACATTGGCAGGAAGTTAATGGTGGCCGGAGTGGTCACTAGGCATTATAGTTATGGCCACTACTATATCATCATTACAGACATACACAGCCACCCGACTCCCACACTTTCATGCAAGGCCTTTATCTCTCTGAAGATGATGCCACTGGAGAGCATTTGGACCCTGCCTTTTGGAGCAGGCAGATACCTTCTGTCCCAACAGCCCCATATCAGGAGCTCTCCTCAAGGGTACAGTGCCTTCTTTGCTAGGTTTAGAGCTGATCTGTGAAAACTGAGGGATTCCCAATACACTGAGATCTGGTAACCATATGCTGGATGCACACAGCACAGCACTGTTCCAGGACTGGCAGACATTCCATGCTAATCAGTGCCAGTGTGCTCAGCAGTGGAATCTTTTATTTCCATTTTATTACCTACCAGGTATTGACCGAAAATCTTCTACATTCCAAGTGCTATTGAAAGTACTGGGACAACAGCAAACTTTGAATCAAAAATGGACATGCTCTTGTGGAGCTTCTAGGGTGTAATCTACCTGATTTTTTTTTTTTAAAGATTTATTTATTTACTTGAAAGTCAGAGTTACACAGGGAGAAAAGGAGAGAGAGAGAGAGAGAGAGAGAGAGAGAGAGAGAGAGAGAGAGAAAGAAAGAAAGAAAGAAAGTAAGTCTTACATCCGCTGGTTCACTCCCCAGTTGGCCGCAACGGCCAGAGCTGTGCTGATCTGAAGCCTGGAACCAGGAGCTTCTTCCAGGTCTCCCATGCAGGTGCAGGGACCCAAGGACTTGGGCCATCTTTCTGCTGCTTTCCCAGGCCATAGCAGAGAGCTGGATCAGAAGTGGAGCAGCCAGTACTCAAACCAGCACCCATTTGGGCTGCCTGCGCTGCAGGCAGTGGCTTTACCCACTATGTCACCATGCCTGCCCCATCTACCTTTTTTTTTTTACCCCATATTCTCTCATGGTTTGAATAGCTTCATCCTGGACTCACCAGGTTTGTAACAGGTGGTCAGTGTCTTCCTTCTCTTTCTGCTGCTTCTCTGTGCATAGCTGCTGGCATCCTTCAGCTCAGGTCTAGGGTAGGGATCATGGCTCAGCCTCAGGCAGGAGGAACAGAGCTCTTTGGATGGTTAAGAGATTCAGATGGTTCCCTCAATTTCAGCCTCTGGTGTGCAAGAATGGCCTCTGTCTTGCTCTATACCACTAACCTAGTCCCCACCTGGTTTCACACACAGGAAACAAACAAAGTGTTGTCTGAGACCATGAGATTGGGCCAACTGCTGAGCTATGAGATAAACTTATTCATAGCTCACTAGCTCCAAGAGAAGTAGTCAGAGCTGCAAGTGTTCCAGGTAGGACAGACCCCTGACTTTTTTTCTTTGTGAGTCCTATGCTTGGGCTGCCCATGTGATAGTTTCTCTGTAGCAATGGACAAGGCAACAGGTGGTGTGTACAAGAATACATATGGGGATGTATGTGTGTGCACATGCATGCATACACACACTGGTTCTCATTGCTGCAGTGACAGGCTTATGGAGCCTTACTTAGCCTTCCCTTCTGCAATGGTGGAGGAGGGGCTCCTGACTGCAATATCTCTTTTACATTGTCACAGTTTTCTTCGAGCAGCACCCCTATTGCCCTTAGAAGCAGGCAGAGTGATGACTGAAGCATCAAGCCTGTGGTTTCTGTAGCAGGAAGTGATTTCGATGCTGAAAGCTAATTTTAGATTAGTTGTTGTGGGGTTTTCAAGCAATGTTTCAGGCTCAAGGCGCAGCCCCCTGCTACTTTTTCCTACAAGGGATGGACAGTTTCTCACTGTCCCTGTCACTGTCTGACTGAGCTCATGTCCAGTTGGACAGGGTGCTTGGGTGGAAAGCCGGGGCTGGTTTTCCCTGAATTCCAGGCTGGCTGAGTCATTGTTATTGGCCTGGAGCTCCAGGCAGAATCCTATGACTCAGAACAAGCCTGGATGTAGGCCAGACACAGAGCCTCTTTTCCCTGGCTGCTTGACTGCCTTTAGGCTCCCTAAGGTCACGATAGCATAGGACCTTCACCCTGTGTGAGGCCTGGGTCAGAGATCAGATGAAGCTTTTGGGTTAAAGGAAATATGATTTTGGATGGCAGCCACTTAGGTGGAATATGTTCTCCCAGTCATCAGTGTCCTGAGCCTCATAGAAGGGAGAGCTGTCTGACTCAGGATGGGCACATTAGAGGTTCCATCCAAGCTTCAGCTCTGGAGACTGGAACTCATGCTGGTAGCCGCAGACATAAAAGAAGCCGAGGAAAAGGCACAGAATTCTCAGAGAGCCTCGTCATCTAGATGCAGAAGCACCGTATTTGGATGCCCAAGAGCCAAGTAGTTTCTGTCTCTGCAAAGGCTTTGGTATAGCAGATAGGATGTGAGGCTCCCTGCTCACCTCCACAAGTCTTCAAAGCCTATTTTAATCTACTGTCCCCTCTCATAGGGTTTCCACCGCAACCCCTGCAGCAGAAAATTCTATCCCCAGCATACTGAGAGCGATGACCAAAAGTTACACAGCTAATACAGGCAGCATAAGAGCCAGGCAAGGCACTGACTTCTTTGTCTTTCAAATAAAAAAAAGTTACAGAGAGAGGTAGAGGCAGAGAGAGGTCTTCCATCTGCTGGTTCACTCCCCAGTTGGCCGCAACGGCCAGAGCTGTGCCAACCCGAAGCCAGGAGCCAGGAGCTTCTTCCGGGTTTCCCACGTGGGTGCAGGGGCCCAAGTCCTTGGGCCATCTTCTGCTGCTATCCCAGGCCATAGCAGGAGCTGAATCAGAAAAGGAGCAGCTGGGACTAGAACTGGCACCCATATGGCATGCTGGCACTTTAGGCCAGGGCTTTAACCCACTGTGCCACAGTGCCAGCCCCAAGGCACTGACTTTTGTACTGTGCTACCCAGAATTTAGGGATGCCCAGTATTTAGAGAAAGCATTTTCCATGTGTGATTGAGGTAGCAACAAAACACTGGTGCCTCTGGAAAGCCAGTTAAAGCATAATTCAATTCTTCTCCAGTAGCTTATCTATCTTGCCCTGTTTTGGAGTGAGATGTGGCTTGAGAGATCAGACTAGGAATATAGGTATTCATTGGTGCATGAGAGGAAACACTTCTGCCCTAGAGAGGTTATAAGTGAACATTTTCAGGGACCAGTCAATACCCTGAGGAGGACTGAGCAATACAAGACTGATGACTGCCTCAGAGCCAAGGCTGAGCTCAGATCAAAGAGGAGGAGAGCATTCTCACACAAGCTCCAGTGTTTACAGAGTAGTGACTTAGCGGTAGATTGTGTGAGCTAACCTCTGCTTTGAGAGTTCCATAGAAGGTGTCTTTGACCCATTTTCAGAGGCTGTGGTGGCAGGAGGGATTTTTAGCTACATCATAAAGAGTTTTGTGGCCATCTTCAAAAGACTTAGCTCAGGAAGTTGTAATTTTCCATGATTAGGTTATTAATCATGAAAATGATCCCTACCCCCGGTTCCCAGCCCCTGTGCTGTAGGAGGCTGACAGAGGTGCCACTCCGGTGCTACGTTCTGCCTCCTCAGCAATGGGCAAGAAGCCGTGGTGGCCTGAGCACTGCTGGTGGGTGCTCTCTGTCTGCCTTGTTTATGGAGCCTCACAACTCTGTTCCCAAATCCTGAGTACTTTGTCCTACCTAAGAGACTTAGCCAGGGGACAAGAAATCCTTAAGATCCCTCCCTTAAGTGGAGGGATGTAGGTAGAGGAGTTTCCAAAAAGTCTCTTCAACAGAAGACCTGTGTACCCTGAGTTATTGATAACTGGGAGAGCCCAATCTGTAACACTTTTGGGATACTTTCATTTTAAGAAGAAAATCCTAAAATGAAGGAATACACAAACAATGGTGGTAGTTCATGAAGCGCTTTGAGGAACATCAGAGAGGGCTTTAGGCCCCTCGC